AATGCAGAACAACAAAGAAAACCCAACGGCCATGCGTGGTGAAAGCGAGGGGAAACACCCGTGCATAACAGGCCCAAGAGAAGAGAGGGACTGTAGACTGCCAGACTCTCAAGCTGGACCCTCTGCCTTGGCTTGCTGTAGACTAAGCACTACAGACCTCCTTAGAGATCAGTGCCAAACGAAATGGAGAGATTTTGCCGCACAGAACCAAAGGCAGCTCCTGTGGAAGAGATAAAAAAATTATGAATTGGAAACACAGCCTATTTGGAGAAAAAAAAAATGAATTGGAAACACAGACTATTTGGAGGAAAAAAATTATGAATTGGAAACACAGACTATTTGGAGAAAAAAAATCTTTGCTGCCCATCCTAAGGAGACCCAGGACTACAAGAATATTGCAGTTCTCTGCAAATCTGGAACTGGGGCACCAGCTGGACGGTATCCGTCTTAATTAATGTTTTAAAAGAAAAAAATAGTTGTTGTTTTTTTAAAAAGAATATAAGTTTCTAGTTATGTGTATGCAAAAAGAGCCTTGGGTCTATGGCGCCCGTTTGCTCCGCCCCCGATCCATCCCTCTCCCGGCTCAAACCCTCTTGTATGACCGGGGCCTTAATTGTTTTTTAAAAAGAATACAAGTTTCTAATTATGTGTATGCAAAAAGAGCCTTGGGTGTATGGGTAATACCTAGTGGAATTCCCAGACACGTTGAATCCCAACAGCAATGCCCTTGCCAAAGTTTATTTATTTATTTATTGTTTATATTAATTTCCCGCCTTTCCAGGTATCTGGCTCAAGGGGGCTAACAGCATTAAAATGGCATAAACAACCAAGTTAAAACAATGAATAAATACCATACCCGTTAAAAAAACACCAGTCCGAAAAAGTCTAGCATGGTGGCAAAAGTGCTGGAGGGTGCCCTAGACCTTCCTTCACCCCTACTCAGCCAGAATCAGGAAAACATGCCGCTTCAAACAGAAATTAGAAGGAGCGCAACATCAGACTGCCTGCAACGTCTCAGCCTTGTCTTCTCAGCACCCTTCCTTTGGGCCCCAGATCCGCGGCCCTATTCACTTACTGTCCCCTTGTGGATCCAGGGTACTTTCCTTCTGTAAACTGAAGGAGTTGGGGCTCTCCATGTTCTCGTAGGAATCAGCATCTGTGGGAGGCACTTGGTCAGAGATGGACCCAACCCTCCATCCCAACGCCTTAAGCATATTTTACAGGGAGTGTTGCCAATCTCCAGGGGGCAGCTGGAGCGCTCCTGGAATTATAGTTCATCTCCAGACTACAAAGGTCAGCTCCCCTGCAGGAAGTGGCCGTTTGAGAGCGTGGCATCACATCCCTGCAGAGTTCCCCCCCCCCAAGCTCTGCTCTCCCAAAGCGCTACCTGCAAATCTCCAGGACTTCCCCAACTGGGAGCTGGCAACCCAAATTTATGGGACCGGGGATGGTTGGAACGTGTCAGCCAGCCACAATCTTATTTTTTCTTTCTTCCAGGCAGAGATGTAGTACTATGGGTAGCAGGCCCGCAGCCAGGATTTTTTAAAATTTGGGGGGCCTTTAAATAAATTGGGGGGCACCCTGCACCCCGCCCCAAGGGAGCACCATGAATAAAATTTTAAAAATGGAAGTCAGGGGGGCCTTGGCAGTAAGTTAGGGGGCTGGGCCCCAAGATGCCCCACTGTAGCTACGGGTCTGATGGGTAGGTTTCCGTGGTGTGCAAGCATCCCCTGTGGGATTTCGACCCAGAGAATTCTGGAGTGTTGGCACTCACCTTCCTCATTGCTGGTATGGAGACTTTTGCTGGGGGTGGGGCTCAGGGTTCCATTCATCTCTTCATAGGACTGGGAGCCTGAGGGGAAGCAGAAGCGTCTCAGAGAGAGCTGGGCCAAGAGTTAACTCTAGGGGAGAGGGTCTCTGGTAGGGTTGGCAACTTCCAGGGGGTGGCTGGGGATCTCCTGCTATTACAACTGATCTCCAGGCCGCAGAGATCAGTTCCCCTGGAGAAAATGGCTGCTTTGGAGGGTGGACTCTATGGCATTGGACCCCACTCAGATCCCTGTCCTCCCCAAACCCTGCCTTCCTCTGGCTCCACCCCCGAAATCTCCAGGTGTTTCACAGTCTGGAGCTGGCAGCAACCCTAGTTCTCAAAAATGATGGTCATAGTCACAGAAC